GTGGCAAGGTAGACTAGCAAACATGTCCAACCTTTACTCACATTCGAGACAACACTCCCAACAAGATTGCTTGCCCCAAAATCGAAGAGGCACCGCCCTCCGAATCTCGAGAGCCAGACTCCCAACATGATTACTTCCTCAAAAATCGAAGAGACACTGCTCTCCGAATCTCGAGAGTCAGACCCCCAACATGATTGCTTTCTCAAAAATCGAAGAGGCATCGTTCTCGTTCTCCGAATCTCGAGAGCCAGATACCACAGACCACTTTTTCAAAGTGCTCTGACAGAGTTAAAAACATGTGAAACTGGCAGCTCCCACTACCGTGCTATGACCAAGCAGGGTAAAGGAATAGCATTACTACTTGTTAGGGAGATTCCTATATATGTCGACCTCCATCCCCAACGGACAGGCAGACCTGCAAAAATGCTCAACCCTTCATCATATCTGAGAGGGCACTCCCAACAAAGCCTTTCGAAATATTCAGCTTTCTTTCCCCCCGATAATACCTCTGCAAACAAGCTATACTAGAGCAAGAATATCTCATATCATCAGGGTTAAAAGCAAGAGTATCCCATATCATGCTTTTTCCCTGTTTTTTTTTTGGCCTTGTTTTTTACCTGCAAGACAAGGAGAAAGAGAGCAATCAGTCAGCACTTGGAATCAAGCTTCCAGCCAGGAACTGACTGCCTGGAACCCCTTACTTGATTACTTACCTGGCATTGCTCTCGAGTACTCATCTTCAACATCTTATGTTTCCAGGGAAGATTCCGCATCTGCTTGAGGAACAGATAGGGCAAGTGCGAAGGATACAAGGAAGCATGTGGAGACAAGCGTAACAGCACACGTGCCGATACATCCATTACTCTGTCAAAAGCAAAAGTATCCCATATCAGCAGGGTGGAACGTACTCTAGATTTGATGGACTTGTTTTGACCCTCAAATTCTTCAGTCGGCCTTATACTCTCTGGAGGAAACCAGAAAACCCTCCAACTCAGTTCAAGAATAAGCCTGTGGAAAGTTACTTCTTCAAAAGCAAAAGTATCTCATATCATCTCTTCTCATTTTTCTTCTCTCTTTATCCTTCATGCTGCTGCAAGATGGGGAGAAGGTGAACAATCAGTCGGAGCTCTGATTGCTTACCTTGTCTGTCACCTCTTTCAGCAGACCCCCTAGCTCGGCGACTTGGGGGACTCCTACTACATGGTTTGTATCGCGCTTGACCAAGCCTGAAACTACAAGTAAGCTTCAAGTGAAATTGATACATTACCTTGTGCATCTCCACCAGTTAAAGATACCACCCTTGGATGGAGGAAGAGTACTTCCAGAGAAGATGCCACATCTACCTATGAGACAGATAAGGCAAGTCAAGACGACACCACACTCCGATACTTAGAAGTTTCGTGATTACGAGATCATTCTCCCACAATATTTCCTAATGTCATTTGTACTAAATCATTCACTCGTACTCACTAAAGGAGAGCTTGAACCTATGTACTTGTGTAAACCCTTCACAATTAATGAGAACTCTTCTATTCCGTGGACGTAGCCAATCTGGGTGAACCACGTACATCTTGTGTTTTGCTTTCCTATCTCTATCCATTTATTATACTTATCCACACTAATGACCGGAGCAATCTAGCGAAGATCACAAAAAAGCGACCGTTTTCGTTACCTATGATCTATCTTGCAAGAGAACGGAGAATTAGATGGAGATCTCAACCATAGAATACGAGCTGGATGGAAAGAGTGCATCCGGCGTGTTGTGTGACCGTCGTAGGCCACTGAAGCTCAAGGGAAAATTTTATAGGACGGCAATAAAGCCAGCGATGTTGTATGGCAGAGAATGTTGGGTGGTGAAGCATCAACACGTACACAAAATGGGTGTAGCGGAGATGAGGATGCTTCGTGGGATGTGTGGGCACACGAGAAAGGATAAGATTGGGAATGAGGATATCCGAGGTACAGTAGGAGTAGCCGAAATTGTAGGAAAGATGAGAGAAAATCGGCTCTGGTGATTTGGACATGTGCAAGAAGGCCGACTGACGCTCCGGTTCGAAGATGTGACTACGGGACAGAGGTTCAGGGCCGAAGGGGTAGAGGAAGACCTAGGAAAACTTTGGAAGAGACTCTAAGAAAAGACTTAGAGTACTTGGATCTAACGGAGGACATGACACAAAACCGAGCGCAATGGCGTTCTAGGATTCATATAGCCGACCCCACTTAGTGGGAAAAGGCTTTGTTGTTGTTGTTGTTGTTGTTGTAACACACACACACACACACACATTGTTTTTTGTCAATATTTTTGGTTTGTAAAATATTTGTAGTTCTCTGGTTAAACTATTGTTTCTGTACTTGCAGATAAGATCCACCGAAAAATTGGTGAAGGTTAGGTTTTAACTGGATTTAGACCTATGTCTGGATGGGTTCCTGTACCTTTGATCTGTCTTCTCATATTTCTGCTCTTTGTATCGTGTAGGAACTTTTGGTCAGGTTTTGGAATGCTGGGATAGGGAAACAAAAGAAATGGTAGCTATAAAAGTTGTCAGGAGTATCAAGAAATACCGTGAAGCAGCAATGATTGAAGTTGATGTGCTACAGTTGCTTGGGAAGTATGACAGAAATGGAAGTCGGTGAGTATACTTATCCTGTCATGGTTATTTCTTTTGCTTCTTAGCAGTTGTAAAATGAAATTTGGGTCAATTGTTAAGTGGCTTTATTCTTTGCAGTTGTGTTCAAATACGGAACTGGTTTGACTATCGTAACCATATATGTATCGTAAGTATATGCTTGATTTTTTATAAAATGATTCCCCAACTTCACCAATATTTTGGGGGTTAAGACATTTTTGAATTTAAATGGTCTTAACAGGTATTTGAGATGCTTGGGCCAAGCTTATACGATTTCCTCCGGAAAAATAATTATCATGCATTTCCGGTTGATCTTGTCCGCGAACTTGGCAGGCAACTGTTGGAATGTGTAGCATGTGTGTAGTTGGACCTCTGTTGTTTCTCTTATCTCTCTAAGTTTACAGCAGCAGTTGTAGTATTCCATAAGTTTTTACCTTTCTTTCTTTAAAATTTACCCGTAGTTTCTGCTTTTTTCTTTTTAGTAAAGCTTACTTCCATGACATGTATGAATACCTTGTGAGCATCTTTTATTGGACTGGAAAATGAATTTAAATTGCAACACTACTAGTTTTTATGCTTCCTGTGGCGTGTAACTTTTGCAGTCATGCATGATATGCGTCTCATCCATACCGACATGAAGCCTGAGAACATACTATTTGTTTCTTCAGAATACATTAAAGTACCCGACAATAAGGTATTTCTTCTTGTGATCATAATTATATTGTTCTGCAGTTAGTGTTTTCTTATTCCTTTTTGCCCCTTCAGATGACACGGTTCGCTTATTGTTTGTACCTCTTATCTGAATCCAGTTCACTTATTGAAAATTGTCATTTGCTTTTATTTCTTTGCTGTCACAGTTTCATCCCGGCCACCAAAAGATGGAACCAGTTATAGAAGGTTGCCAAAGTCTAGTGCTATCAAGGTTATTGATTTTGGCAGCACAGCCTATGAGCATCAAGAGCACAATTACATTGTGTCGACAAGGCACTACCGGGCACCTGAGGTTATTCTGGGTATGCTATTACTATGCCTTCTGTTATCTTGCGAATCATTTGCATTTTGAATATTTGCTATCAATTTATATCTTAACATTCATAAGATTGTTAATATTTACAGGACTTGGATGGAGTTATCCATGTGACATATGGAGTGTTGGTTGCATCTTGGTAGAGTTGTGTTCGGTATGTCTCTGAATTATAATGGTCCATCAGTCTCTGCCAGATTTCTGGATTAGAAAAAAATGTATAGAACTTCTGAGAAAAAAAGAATGAATTTCTTTACAGGGAGAAGCTTTGTTTCAGACACACGAGAACTTGGAACACCTGGCTATGATGGAGAGGGTTTTAGGTCCAATGCCACATCACATGTTGAAAAGAGTGGAGTATGTGGTTTCTTGAGGAATTTCGTCGTAATTTTCATATCTTAAGGTTCAGATCACATCAGTTAGCCTATATTCACCACTGTCTCCTTTGCTACTTCTGTATTCTTGGTTCAGCCGTCATGCTGAGAAGTATCTCAGACGGGGTAGATTGGACTGGCCAGAAGGTGCAACTTCTCGAGAAAGTATTAAAGCTGTTTTAAAGCTACATCGGCTCCAGGTATATAGAATCTTGCACTTTTACACACTTGCTTTGGAACACGTCCAGACGAGTTATTCAAATAAAACCTTTAAGGTTAATCAATTTATATAATTTTTGGCAGAATATAGTGATGCAGCATGTCGATCATTCAGCTGGTGATCTCATCGACCTCCTGCAAGGTCTCCTTAGATTTGATCCCTCCAACAGGCTAACAGCTCCAGAAGCCCTTAGGCATCCCTTCTTTACCAGGGATCATTACCGGAGGTTTTAGCCAGTTGGAAAATTCATTCTTGCATTGTTAGTAGGTTTGCTTGGAGTGGATTACGGAGTAGTGGCTTATTGAAGAGCGGGGTTTTCTTGCTTTCCTGATTGTCATTTCTTGGCATACACAAGATGAAGGGGCTCGCCGGGAACCCTGGATTTCTGTACTTTCACATCTGCACGAAAGCTAATGTAAATATCCTGTTCTCACCAGTTTCTCCTTGTTCGATTTTGCACCATGAAGATGAAATGTAACAAGTTTTCGATACAATAAGGTGTGATGCGCTTTCTGAACAAGTTTGGCGTTCGCCCTGTGTATTTGTTTGTTTATGTTTTCTCAGTATACTATCACTCTGTAACATGTTTCACGTATTGCAATAAATATCATTCTTCTTGTCTTGTACATTGTCAAAAAGCTGGTCTGCTTTTATTTTCTGCTGCTTGAGAAATTACAGTGCAGTAGTTGGGAAGTAATTTACGAAAATTCGATGCTTGAAACACAATCCAAGAAAAAAAAGAAGCAAACAATGACCTACTGTTTTGTCTTGCATTTTCTGGCGACCAGAACTCCATCAGGAGGTCTAGTGAGCACAACTTGGCAGTCCCCGTGCAACCAGTAGGAGTACCGGAGGATGTTTCCGAAGTTAGCTCGTGCTCGGAAATACCCCTTGACCTCAAATCTGGCCCGATCGGTCTCCATCTCCTTCTTGAGCCTTATGCTTTCCAGCACACCGAGACGAACCTGGCTAGCCACCATATGAACATTTGCGAACATGGACTGACGCCTCTGTGCAGAGAAGGGTTCTATGTACTGCGTAGCAACGCGGGTATTTCCGTAATAAAGATCAATGATCAGGTTGCTAAAGTCAACGCTGACCTTCTTGTTTGGGTTGGTGAAGTTTGCCAGCACTGTAACGTCGGCATTGAGAAGATATCCCATGTCAAGATACGCTGCGTTTAGTGTGGCGGAAGAGACGTCGAATTTCGGAGTCCGGGGACGAAAAACAAGATAGACTATGAGAACCACTAGGCCGGTTAAGATAACGAGAACCCAAAAAATTGCACAGCAAATGGCTCCTGACCATGCGAGGACATTGGTTTTTTTAGGCCGTGGTGCGTGCAAGCCCTGTTGGCGAGTATGCCGGCCATGCGGCTGCCCTTGTGGGTATGGCCGACGATGTTGCTCGTCTTCGCGATCATGATGCGGGGCTGGCACCATTGGAACTATAGGGGGGGTTTTCTGGCCTTGATGCTTTTTCAGAGGACGCTGTTCTCCTTCATGATCATCGTATGGGCCAGCCACATGGGTTTTCTGGCCTGGATGTTTTGTCCGAGGCTGTTGGTCTTCATGATCAAGGTGGGGGGTTTGCTGGTCTGTCCGAGGAGGATGTTCTTCAAGGTTTGGATGAAATGACACCAAATGACCCGCCGGATGCTTAGACCGGGGCCGGCGGGGTGGCTGTAATTGTCTTGTTCCTGGCTCAACTTGTTGTTCGGGGGGATGCGGTCCAGGCCATTGTGGTCTGAGGTTGGGCTGCTCAGGGTGCTGCCCAGGGTGATGTGGGAGTGGCACCGATGAACTGTGTGGGGATGTTTGGGGAAGTTGTTCTGGATATTGTGACGGATATGGCCGGACAAAATGGGGGTTGGTGTCACCACGGTGAGACATGGCGGCACAGAGTAGTACTGAGAAATGAACAAGTGAAGGATAGAGTGGATGCAGAATAAAATAGTAAGGAAGGAGCTGGTGTTAGAGAATGACTTGAAGAAAACTTCAAGGATTATTTTTTTTTGAAAAGGCAAAGAATCAAAATGTAGCTAAGCGTGGGACGCAAGTCATCTTCCGTGACAACTTTTTCTGTATGTGCTTCCGAGTTCTGAGTATTTTAGAGTGGCATCCAATTTACATATTTACCCCTGATACCCAGCTTGCCTAAAGCTAAATGCTACAGAAGATACAGACTTCAACTGGATATAAACACTCTCTCTGCCAAATATACCACTCAACACTAACTTGTTCATGAACAGAGAACATCTTTAATCGTTACCGAATGATGTTGTGATGTGACTCGGAGTCCCGGTCAGCAGGTGTGTTGTAACTGTGAAAACTAGTAGTGATTCCTTGGAAGTTCTCGTTGCTTTCTTCCATCCTCAAGACTCCAGCAAGGCAAGGATGCCCAAGCTTCTTTATTCCGCTTTTCTTCACGAGGACACGGCCGAAATTTTTGGTTGTTCTCTCTGCTAATCCCTACATGCGAAGGAAAAGTACAAATGCCATCATTCTTAAATCTTCTAGAATAACATCCAACCCAAGTAAGAAAAAGAGGGAAGGATAAGGAGCAGAAGGTCCGACACTCACTGCATTTCGAATAAGAAGCCGTACTTCAGCATTTTCACGCCCAAACTAATAGTGCTCTCACATTAGCATTCGTAAAAATTATCTGCAGCCTCTGCATGTCATCTATAAGCACAAGAGGGTCACGGTGCACCCTAAGAAAATAAAGAACAAAGGGAACGAGAATCTGAACTCTAGATTGCTTACATCATCTCATCTTACTTCAAAAATGAAAACGAGAATCAAAACTCTAGATTGCTTCAGAACTATATTGGTAAATAACACTTAAGGCTAGGCATGTAATCAAGACCAAGAACTCAGCCATAATTAAAGGTTGACTTCATCAGTCCAGAAATTAATAAGGATACCGAATCAATATGTAGTTCTGAAATCTTCATTAGGCATCCCCTTAGTTGACCTTCCTTGGACAAATTGGGAGTGATAAAACTAGAATGAGAGGAAAGGTAAGCAATTACCTTGAAGTAGTCTGGTTCTTGCAAAGCCCGCTTGCATTATCTATTGTCCCTCAGGACAAAGAAAAGAACAAAGTAGGTTGAAGTACCTTTTGGCATTTTTAGCAGAATGCGTCAAGTTAGGGAGGCAAATCATACATGGACACATCCTTCTACTATGATAGTGCCACTGTCAATTTTTAATGACGGTGAAATATATTGTCATAAACACTGGAATATATCCAGGATATCTTTACACTTATTCAGCACACAATGTAAAGGCTAAACATCCATGGCTCCCTTGTCTATCTTCCCCCCACGTCCTCATTCACACCCATGCATATTGTTTGACGACACTCACAAACAGCAGAATACCTGTACTTATCTTCATATCAAAAGGCAATATATGTACATAAATCAATCCTACAAGCTCGTACCTGAGTTGTTTGTAGCTTGCCAGAAAGAGCACAAGGTGGTAACAAGACCAGGCTTGATGAGGTGAAATCCTCTCTAACAAGTGCCTCTTACTATTGACTCTGTGATAGACCAGACAATACGATAGCATAATCATTAGAACCACTAAACCATATCTAACATAAAAACAGGTCAGTAGCATCACAGGTTCCATAATAAGCACCAAAACTTACACAACTTGTTACCCAAAAAATTTATACAACTGAACGTGAACTACAAAAATCAGTATAACTGTATTGACATATATTGGTACATGAACATAAAAACTACAAGGGTTCCTATAATATACTAACCGTTTAGCATTTTCATGCAGCATCTTTTGAATTGATGGCATTAACCAGAGTCTTGGAGAAAGCTCCATCAAGAGTAAAGCCCTTTTCCATCATCTGATCCCATACCCTACAAGCGACTGACAGCTTATTCTCCCTTATGAGACCTCCAATTATCAATTTAAAAGTTACCCCGTCAGCACTACACCCTCTAGTCTGCATTTCCTCGTAGAGATGCATAGCGTCACTCACTTTAGAAGCCTTGAGCAGCCCGTTAATGAGAGCATTATATGAAATCACATCAGGGGTGATTCCCTTCTCAAACATTTCACTGAAAACACTATAAGCCATTTCAATCTTCCCATTCTTACATAGGTGATCAACTATTGTAGTGTAAAATATACAGTCAAGCAACAGACCCATCGCTGTTGTCTGATCAAGAAGCTTCTTGGCTATCTCTGAACTACCTTCTCTTAAAAAGGCATTTATAAGAATAGTGAATGTAACCAAATCTGGCACAGTGCCCTTGTGACGCATTTCCTCAAACAATTTGTAGGCACTTCGGGTACGGCTTGCCTTGCAAAATGATGTAATGATGGTATTGTACGACACAACATTACACAACCCCTTTGGCTCCATCCTAGTTCTCATCAACAAATACGCCTTATCCGGTCTATTAACTTTACAAAGGCCCATGAGAAGCTGATTATAACTATACACATCAGGTTCCATCCCACCCCTCTCCATTTTCTTCATCAACTTCTCAGCCTCCTCCAACATGAACTGATTACAACAATAATTCAACAACACATTGTGAGTAACCAAATCTGGCTCGCAACCATTTCTCTTCATAAATGACTTGATTGCTTGTGCCTTATCAATCCTACCGGCACGACAAAACCCACTAATCAACGCATTATAAATCAAACTACTAAAATTAACACTACCCTTCACTTCATCAATGACAAGGTCATAAGCCAAATCAACCTTCCCACCCTTGCACAACCCAACAACCAGCGCCGTGCACGCAATGTTATCAGGCCTGAACCCTTTCTTAATCATACCATTCCAAATATCAACTGCCGTATCAAATTGTCCAGCTTTACACAACCCATCAATAATTATAGTATACGATACACCATCCGGCTCTCTTCCTTTGTCAACCATCCTATGAAGCAATTCCAAAGCGAAATCCATCCTGTCTTCTTGGCACAGAAGATTCAAATATATATTGAAAGCCCAGATGTCAGGCAATGCCCCAATCCTATCCATGTCTCGAAGAAGCTTCTCAATGAGGGTGAAATTTCTAATCTTGCACAAGCCAGAAATGAACCTTGAGTAAGTAAAGGGGTCCAATGAGAACCCCTTCGGCACCATTTCGTAGTAGTAGTGCTCGGCGAGATCGTACCGCGAGTGCTTGACGAGTACGCCGATGAAGCGGTTGTAGTCGACGCTGAAGACCCGGCAGTCCGAGTGGGTCATTTCGTCGAACACCTGTAGTGCTTGATCGATGAGGCCAGTTTTCACGTAGTACACTATGCGGCTCCGGTATATGAGGCGGTGAACGCCAAGACTACGATACATATCAGAGTGAATGCATAGCAGAGACAGTCAAGGAGCTTAATGCGTCGGAGTGTATGGCATCCGGCGGAGAGGAAAACGGGGGACTACAGCCCCGGAAATGGAGACGGCGGAGGGAAGAGCGGGTTTAGCTGCAGGTGAAACGACGTCGGTTCCCGAAGCCATTCGATAGGAGGTATAGCTGCAGCAGCTGCCAAGGCTACCTGGTTTCAACAATGGTGGTGATGGACTCAATGCGGCGCGGGGCAGGGGAGGGTGGGTGGATTTGGGTTTGGGTTTGGGTTTGTTGGGTTTCAAGATTTTCTGTTGGGCTGTGTATTTGGGCTGGCCTGAATTGGAAGTTAAGTATGTTTCTTTTGGGTTTGAGTTGGGCTTTGAGTTTTGAAGACAGCTTGTGTTGGCCCAATCTCATTTGCATCCGGACTTGCTAATAATAAACAAGTACGACATCGTCTTACCACAGTGGTGGAAAATATTAAGCTTATGCATTTTGGTGCGGGTTTGATCTTCATCAACAATTAACTTCTAATTTACTAATAATATCGCTCAGTTAAAAAATAAAAGCAAGTATGACATGCAATATAAGACAAGTTTGTGTTGGGTAGGGGACCGGATAAAAATGGCAATTTGATTCTTTCTTTCTTGGCCACCTTTCTTGACCAATATTTTCTATTTCTGCTATGATAATTTATTTTCTTCTTTTCTTTTGGTGCAACTAATGTGGACTACACTAAAAAGGTTTAGCGTAACAATAATGACTGAAAGTTGATGATTAAATTATTAATTAAGTGTTGATTAACATGCTTATTTTTTATTGACAACATTATATAGTTTACCAATTTAATTTACAAATTTAATTCCAAAAAAAAAAAATCGACCATTTATACCATTTTAAATTAAATAAACAAACATATAATATAACTTCATGTTATAGTGAAGGGACTTATTCTGTGGGCGAAATTTGTAAATTTAAAATGTAATTTTGCCTTAACTTATTAGTGCATAAAATCTAAGCATGGATTATGCATGCAAGTTATTCTGTATTTGTTGGTCAAATATCAACCGCTTATCCATCCCATCAGTTTGGAAGTTTGAACAAATCGTCCTTGAACAACAAGGCAATTTTGTCAATTCCTGGTCACACATTTTTGTTTTTTTTCTTGTCACTTGTTGTTTAATTGGAGCTATGATTTGCAATACCAATTGTCATAATAATTACCATGGTTCTAAAAATCCCCGCCTAGTGCTGTCTAAGTCCCGTCTAGCACCGCTTAAGCGCTAAGTTGTTGGCTACCGCTCCGATTAGTTTCTAAGCATTTGAAAATTAAGAAAGTGCGCGTAGACCTGCTTAGGTTTCCATATAGCCCGCCTAAACCCACCTTAGCATCCGCTTACGTCGCGACTCTCACTTAGACATAAAATCAATAACTTTCTTTTTGCATTTTATTTTGCCAATAAAATGTAAGAGACTTGCTAAATACTTAGATGAACACTCATTAAATGTTTATTCCCCATATTTTCAATATGTTCTAATACTTTATAATCTATATAACATTTTATTTTACAATTTATGTAAGCCAATACAATTATACGTTTTTTAAGTATAAATAGGCACTTATCTATACAATATATAATTAATTTACTTAAATCCGTCTAGTTCGCTTATGCCCCCCAACTAGCTGCCTAATTAGCGCCTATCGTTTTTTAGAACATTAATAATTACCACTTTTGCACCTCCATTCAACTTGGATTAATGGAGTTTTGGAGGTGTTATGCTTGTTGGTTGCTCGATTCTAATTGGTAAAATAAACCGGGAAGTAGAATGTTGGACTCAATTGTCACTGCCGTTCTGGTCGTGTGACAGTTTGTCTTCCTCGTTAAGTATTAGGGTTTCAAAACTTTGAACAGTTTGAGGCCTTCCAGAAATGGCATGACCAAGAAAACATTTCCTCAAAGATCAACGAGCCATGTTTAGTTTCTGACATTCTTTACTGGGAGGTTCAAACACTGGAAAAGGGATCCTCTATGGATCCCTTTCCACCAAATCCACATAGTCCGAGATTTGGATCGTTGGAATTTGATCAAACGGCTACAGTTATTATCATTTTTAAAGAGGCACCATATTTGTAGCCGTTGGATCAAATTTCAACGATCCGAATCCCGAACTAGGTGGATTAGGTGGAAAGGAATCCGAAGAGGATTCCTTTCCCAAACACTGATCAAAATTACCAGAACGCATGACCACAAATTAGGGTTGATATAATATAATATTGGTTTGGTGCTTACGTTTTGGTGTCCCTCATTCACAAAACTAGTAAAATACATTATTTATTTTGGACAATGATTGTTTGCCCTCCTTGTTCCCGTGCCTTCCTGTTTTGTGTGGTCACGGTTAAGCCACGTCAACATTTTATATTATTTTTTTTATAGAGATAATAAGACAAAAATGAATAGTAATATAAAATGTTGATGTGGCTTAACCGTGACCACACAAACAGGAGGGCATGAGATGGCACAGGAACAAGAAGAGCAGACAATCCTTGTCCATTTATTTTACATCACGATGGTAGTGTGTAGAACTTGACCCTCACTATAGTTCAAAATTTGATCTTTTACTTGCTTTGAAATTGAGAACACATGTTTGCCCATTTCCTATGTCCTTCTCGAAACAACTTTAGCTCAACTTGGGTCATGTAATAAGAGAGATAAATATAACATGATATAATTTGCCATAAGGAGATACTCCCCTCCCCAATGTACAAGTTAATTTATGCATCAAAAAATCTCGATTAAGGAAAAAAAAACTCTTCAACAAGTTGTCTAACTAATATCTCTCAAATCTCAAAAATGAAATCCACATTAAATTATCAAATACATAAAATCTTGTACCTTTAAAAAAATTGTACGAAACTACAACATGATGGTTTAGTGGTTGAGGACGAATTTAAACTCTATTTCACAGGGCAAATTATGGATTCGTTTTTTATCGCTGATGAATCACACGCTAATAAACCACACGGCAAGTCATAAATTGTCATGACAAAACCTTTAGTTATTCCCTTTAAAAAAAAAATGATGAAAACTGTCTTACGAATCACGTAACTTGAGTGTATTCCTCCACAAGATTCTCTCGGTGGTCCGAACTATACATGTGTAAATGACATCACAAGACTCGACATGCATTGCTTGTTAGATCATGGACGACGTGGCAGTTTGACCCATGCCCCCGCCAGTCTAAAACCAACCCACCATAACCATTACCAACAAGAAGTTAACAACCCTCCAAACCCCAAGTGACTCAGTCCAACTCGTTCTCCCAAAACTCAGCCTCCTCCCCTTCTTCTCACTTCTTCTCCCTTCTTCTCCTCCGGATTTCAAAGTCCGTCACACATACCAAGCGATTCTTCAGCTGGAAAGATGGTTGCCCATTTTTCCAATTTCCAAGTGAGTCTCTCTTAAAAAATACCTGACTTTTTCCTTCTTTCCAACTTTCTGCTTGTCTCTATTGGTTTAGGGTTTTACTCAGTCGTTTTCGTGTTTGAATATTGCTTCTTAATCAACTGCCTAGATTGAAAAGCTATAATCTTTAGAGAGAGAAAGTGAGGAGAGAGAGAGGGTCAAGGGTTTTAGGTGAGAAAAGGAGCAGAGAGAGAAGAGGTTTTGAAATTTCAATACCAACTATTTATGCCAAAATTTTCAACTTGATGGGTTCTATGTTATTTCCTGGAAGTATCCTTCAATGGGTATCGATTAGTTTTTAGAATTTTTGTCAAAAACTTTGAGATGTTAGGGGAAGAAGAGAAAAACCGGCTCGCCGGAAGTACTTCCCGGAAAACCTACTTGCGGTCGGTTTCGTGGTCTGACCGGTCACCCTCTAAGCATAACAATCCATATCCGAGGCCACAGCTGGTTAGTAAAGCGAGGTCCTGCCTCCCTCCACTTCAGCCCCTTTCAATAGCCAGAAATACCGTTAAGGAGTGGCCGCGGGCGGGGTCTGATGATCTCGGGGTCTGGCCTCAACCGCAGACCCCGAGAGGTTCGGCTAAACCGCTTCTGAATTCGAACCCAGAAGAACCTGGGAGAGAGTTTGAGTTTAAGAAGGATAAACTTGCGTTTTTCAACAAAGAATGCTCGAGAATTGCTGATCATATATTCTTAGGAAGTGATGCCGTGGCTAAGAACCGCGAGATTTTGAGGCAGAATGGGATCACTCATGTGCTGAACTGTGTTGGGTTTGTTTCTCCCGAGTATTTCAGAAATGATCTTGTGTACAAGACACTTTGGTTGCGAGATAGCCCATCGGAGGACATTACGAGTATACTCTATGATGTGTTTGATTATTTTGAAGATGTTCGAAAGCAAGGCGGGCGAGTTTTCGTGCATTGTTGTCAGGGAGTGTCTCGGTCCACCTCTCTGGTCATTGCATACCTAATGTGGAGGGAGGGCCACAGCTTTGAAGATGCGTTCCAGTATGTGAAGGCAGCGAGAGGGGTGACTAACCCGAATATGGGTTTTGCTTGTCAACTCCTTCAGTGCCAGAAGAGGGTACATGCTGTGCCTGCAAGCCCAAATTCCATGTTAAGGATGTATCGGATGGCCCCGCATTCATCGTATGATCCTCTTCATCTGGTGCCAAAGACGTTGGGACATCCAGGTCCACAAGGACTCGACTCTCGTGGGGCGTTCATTGTGCATGTTCCATCTGCTATATACGTCTGGATTGGAAAGGATTGCAACACAATGATGTCAGATAATGCAAAGGCAGCTGCCTTTCAGGTCATCCAGTATGAGAGGGCAAAGGGCCCGATTGTGGACATCAATGAAGGTGAAGAACCGTTGGAGTTCTGGGATGCTCTTTCCAACGGACTCTTAGCAGAAGATTCCAGCAAGACAGATGCCAAAAAGGTAGAAACTTTTTCTTCCGCAGGTGATAAGGTTTCTGCAGCGATGTGTGGTCAGGTTGGTGAAAGGAAGGTTGCCGAATATAATTTGGATTTCGAAATTTTTCATAGGGTACTTGCAGGTGGGGTTGTTCCACCTTTTTCAGTATCAAATACCGAATCAGAAACTTGCCTTCCAGCCAGAGAAAATGGATGGGGTAGATTGCGGCAAAAGTTTGCAAGCGGAATTATGAAAGGATTGGTCACATCTTCTGAGGTGAACCGAAGCCCTACCCCGTCCGGTGATGAATCGGATATGGTTGTGGAAACTCATAAAGAAGCAGAAGACTCCGTTTCCCCAATCGAGCCTTCGTCGCCATTATCAGCATCACGTCACTTTTGTCGTTCACCAGATTCCTTTGAATGTTATCCAAATAAAAGCCCACGTAGGGTAACAGATACTGTTAGAGAGGTAGAACGCTTTGCTCCTCTGACCGATAAGTTACTGTTACCTACAACTCTTTGTGGTTCACCTGATTCATTTTCTTGTTTTCCTGACAGAAGTCCCAAGTTCAGCTCCAAATCCCCAACACTCTCCCCTTCAACCTCTGAAAACTCCAGTTCATTTACCTTTTCACCCTCATCTTCCAATTGGTCGGACTTGTCATATTTGTCTTCTCGACAGCCTTCACCTTCTGGCTTGGATTCCACAGATCCATTTAATGTTAAGAATATCTCTTTGGCAGATAACTCATGCTTGCTTTTCAAAAAATCTCCCCCGTCGCCTACAGAAGCATTTTCTCCTGATTCTACTCTGGAAATGGCAAATACAGGTTTTCCATGTAAGGGGATTTCCCCCTCTATTGCGGAGCGTAGAGGGAGTAATCCTCCACCTCGAATGTTGGTACCTTTGGTTGATGAAACACCAAAAGTTCCGAGGAATCTGGTACGCTCACGGTCCTTCTCCTTACCTGACATGGCTGATGATGCAATGGACACTGATTGCAACCAATCTGAAACTGTGAGCAACAGAGAAGACCTAATGTTAGATGTGAACGTTAGTCACCATGGAAACGAATTGAAATCTGAAAGGATCACGCAAGCAGCGAAAGTGATCAACCCTGTTTTGTACCAGTGGCCTTCTTTGAATAAAGTGGAGGCACATCAGTCTCACGAACTTCATACTGGATCAGCGTATCTTTTGCCAGCTCCAGATACGAGTGCAGGCACAAGTAATCCTGGTATCTTATTTGTCTGGTTGGGACTCGAAGTATTGCAGGAGGGAGGGCAAAGTCCGACATGTGAGGATAGACATCTTCACTGGGAGGCCATAGGACACAACTTGCTCGATCGCATGGGTTTGCCTATGAATTCCCCTGTACAGGTAATTACCATACATTGTTTCTCTGTTTTTCATTATTGCTTAATTGCTTCTGTAATTTCTAACCAATGTCTGATTAATGCACATTAGCATATCTAATCTTTGCCTCTGAATGCCTATTTATGCAGATAATAAGAGAAGGTGAGGAGCCGGAAGAGTTCCTGATCCATCTGAGCCGTATATCCATACAGAAAACATAATCGCGACTTGAAGAATTGGAAGAATCGGGTTTTATGAAGGTTGCAGATCATGAGAGGGGAGTTGGCATCCCGGGCCGCTTTCCGGCTTGAGTGATGTCTGGAGTGGTACAGAAACATGTATAGAGAACAAGTCGGCGTTACGCTGATAGAAATTATAAGTTCTGTTTATACGGCAGATAAATAGTATCAATTCAAATAAGTGAATCCGGAATATATTTTTCCCCTGTAAAGCACCGAAGGTGTTGCCATTTCAGTTGAAATGATAATCAAACTCATATTTCGAATTGCTCCTCAAGTTCTGCTTCGCAACTTTCGGTTCCGGCAAGATCGAGAGAACAAGCTTGATACGGTAATAGTTTCTGTTCTTGCTTAGCGTTGGACCATTCAAAACATTCCAATGTAAGTTACAACACACTATACAACAAAATGGCCGTGAATTGCACCAACGACTGCACATTACATACCCCGGAAGTACCAATTTTAAGGCGAAAGTCGTATTCTATTTCTTCTGTGAAAGTTCACAAAACTAAGGACTGCAGTTACCTCGGAGGCAATGTCCCCACTATCAGGTCTTCATAGCCCTTGAGCTCTCAAACGAGCCACTGTTGGACCTAATGCGCTACCTCTCAAGCCCCTATACGACCACGAGCTCCTAACTGAACCATCGTTTTTACTCCAACCGTTCTCCTCCTGCGACAGTTCTGCCTTCTTTGCGTTCAATGCCTTGCTGATTTCATCCCATGCACTTGCTTTTCCATTTTCAACATATGTAAACAACAATCACAAATCATATTCAGATTCTTCATATGTGTAACGCTTCAAATGAGCCTTCACATCCGGTACGCAGAAACAGATACGAAATGTGGAAATCCAATTAGTACCTTTTGCAGCAGCACGAGTTTCCTTGTCTTTGTCGAGCTGCCTGGAACCTGATGCTACATTTTTATCTCCATGGACTGCTTTGGCTGTGTTGAGGTTGCCATGCTTAACAATGCGGACATCAATAAGGGAAGAATAATCTACCTGCAAAAGGATCAATACTTGTCAGATTCTAGCAATCAAAGACTATGAAGCAGTAAATCACAGCCACTGACAGGCAAATAAAACATGAGTGCATATAAGTACAAAAAGGGTCATAGGACGACGGTACTGGTCATCACTATAACTCGATCATACAAATATTTATCATCAAAAAAGGGTAGTACAACAGTAAATGAATGTATCACACTTTGCAACACAATGAAAGTGGTAGTTCAAATACCTCTAAAGAGCGATCTTCCCTGTAAAGGGATGTATCTGGTACCACATCAGATGCCTCATCTGTCTCCGCAAAAACAATGGGATATTCTGGAACCTGTACTAGCATAATCTTATTTGATTGAGGGTCGTACCGTGACACTTCTCCAACCTACAGGACAAGTAAATCTTTGATGGTAAAGATTTATGTTCATAACAGTCAAAAGATATTTAAGAGAAGAAAGAGTCATACTCGGTATGAGGAAACTTCAGGAGTCCAGCATGATGTTAATTCAATCAAGCGATATGCAATTTGATCACCTTCCTGCAACACATTAAAATGCAAATTAATACTTATTTCCTTAATACTAAAACAAATGGAATATAAAGGACAAGAGTGACTTTGATATGGAAAACATTTTACAGTATCATCTCGCTTTATATCAATTTAAAAGTGGTCCAGAGCATTAGCTAAATGTGCAAAAGACAGAAGAAAGGTTCAAGCAGCTAAAAGGTGCGATTGTACAACGCCAACTGCCAGTAACTCTTTCTAACATCTTTTCTTAGATGAGGGAAACAAATATCCATGCAAACAAAACGGAAAGCAGGAAAGCTACAAACCTTAGGTAAAGAGGTACAGAGCTCAAGCTTATCGAAGTCCATGTGGTCATTTACAGGAATCTCTTTTTCGATACCCAGTATTTCAGGCGACTCTTGATTCAGATCTTCGTGGTCACTTCTTGAATGTGTTGTTTTCTCCATACCCCATTTTTGACCCCTCTTCTTGCTGGTTATTCCATTCCACCGAAAATTTTCCTGAAGCAGGCAGGACATACAATTATGAAGAAATCACATATCTCAATAGATTAAGCCAATTTCAAGCTTCCAAGACCCTATATCTTACTTTTCAAGAAATAATTTTTTTTGAGTAGTTTCAGTAGCCCATATAGAAGAGAAAAGTCTATAATGATCTAAAGAAGAGAAACATACCACTGGATTTCTATTCTGCTGAATAGGCTGATCTCCGTCCACTGGAACAAGTATACACATCAGATAATTGGAGTAACAAATTATCCATAATTCAAGTATGAAATCGTAAAAAAATATTGGTGAACTCAAATGCCATAAGTAATTGTCTATCCAAAGATATGACCCATACATACCTTTTCCGAGGGGTTCAAAGCGAATATGTCCTGGCCTAATTACTACAGGAACAATATCCTCCTCCTTATCCTTATCCGTGTTATGTTGCTCATTCACTTCATTGTTATCTGTTTTCATTCGCTTATCCTCTCCGTCACTATCTGTGTCTGATTGTTCATCCTCTCCTTCACTGTTTGTGTTTGGTTGTTGACGTTTATCTTTACCAGTTGATTGCTGATTATTTGTTTTGAGCAATTGCGTCTGATGTAACTGCAAATTGGAAAGCTATATACAACTTTATTTCATGAGAAAAAAGTAGTCCCTCTTGTAAAAAGCAGATAAATTTACTTCAGAAAATCAACTTAAGCTGAAGGACCAAATACTCCCACATGTGTGTACACATGTGCACTTGTGGGTGTATGTGTGTGAAAGAGGAATCTTTATCTATTTATCATCTTAAACACCGCATTACCTCTTCCTTCTCAGCTTTCATTTTTTCCCTCAACCATTGCCTTTTGGCCTTTTTACGTCGAGCACTTCTACTAGGAATCTAGGACAAAAAAAGATAAAAAGAGTTGACAAATTTAAACTTATAACAGATATAAAAAAATGTATGACAAACAGCACGTACATCTCAGATTATAGTGATAACTACTACCTTTTTAATTTCATCAGGCATATCAGATGAAACCACACCCTTTATTTCATTCTCTTGAAGCTGACAGGACCTATCAAACAAAATTGGGGAAAAGAAAAAATGGGCAAAAATGGTGAGTACTAGATGTTTACAGTCTTACAGAAATTTGGTGACATAAAATTCTAAAAACCTAGCTCTATAGGGTTTAGCTAGCAAAAATGGTGACTATGGGAACAAAACTTTTTGCATTTCATCATCATCATCATATATAAAAAGGCCAGAAAGCTACCTCTTTCCATTGAGCAGTGATTGACCTATTCCATTGGTTCTTTTGTCAGTTTTAGGAGTGCTTGAATGATCCGGTCCATCCTCTACACTAAACGACTTTTCCTTCTTGGAACGACTCTTTTTGGTAAGAACACGAGACTGAGGAGAACTTTCTTTCTTCTCCGCACGGACATCATTCTGAAGGTCTTCAGGTAAACCTGAACATTCTGCGGTAGCAGCAGATTTAATTCTCTTCCTCCTGAAATATATAAATGCAAGTCAGGTGCCTCAGTAAACGTGCATGATATCATAAACACCTTAAACGCTTACATAATAATATACAGGAATGCAGTTAGAATGCCAAAGTATCGCTGATAGATGTGGTAAGGAAATATATAACTACTTCTTTATTTTAAGAAACCTCGACTGGATGAGGAAGAAATAACTATTTCATTTTAGTTCCAATTAAAGTTTGCCCCGGAATAAACGTGTATACCAACCATAGCACACTAATATTCTATCAGCTGAACAAATGATACATTTGTTGCATGCCGTCGCAAATAACCAGAAAATCGAGTAAAAGACATACTTAGAGCTCTGAGGTTTGTCTGAAAGCTTCCTTTTCTTGGACCGTCTGTTTGAACCGGTATCGGGTGCATTTTCAACAGGAAGTATATCCTCCAATTGGTCAGGTTCACCCTCTTCCGAATCACTATCATATCCTCCGGTTTCCTTTTCGAATTCCTCATTAGCCAGAAGCTTCATGCCTCCATTAATTGGTTGCCTCTCCACAATTTCCTCCACCTCAATAGCGTTTGTTCCATCATCAATCAATGCAATTTCAGACAATGCGCCCTCTTTCCTTTTCACACTGTTCAAATCACATATCAAAATACATACCCAATAAAAAAAAACCCCCACATTTTCCGATAATACAAGCATAAACTGACCTGATAATATCTTTATCCTTGAAAATGGAGGTCGACTCAAAAGGCGGAAGCACAAACCCATCCATCTGCGAAAAAAAAAAAATCAAAATTGCGTATTAAAATTTCAAATTTCTTTGGGGAATTAGGTTATGGGGAGGGGATGCTTACAGAGATGAGGAGGCCATCGGGACAAGAACGGTGGAGGCCGAAAGCGTGTAGGAGATGGGCCGCAAGGTCGGAGATGATGCGGAGGTGAGGCTTGAGTAGAATCCAGCTCCGCCGGAGTCCTTGTGTCCTCTGCGACTTGCTCAGAATGTGGCGCTCCTTGAATGCCACCCGAAGCCTCACGGTCTCCGTCGTCGTCGTCATCGGAAGATGAGAGGAAGAGAGCGGAAGGAACCACTCGAACTTCTTAAACCCTCGGTGGGGTTTTCAGAGCTCTCTATGTTGTGAGCCGATAGTGACAGTTGTTCTGCAAGTGTTAACCGAGTATGGGCCTGGGCTTAGGCCGCTGGACCATCGACTACTATAGTTAATGGGCCTTTTGGGCTTGGAAAGGACTGTCACGATAGAATTCCGGGCTTCTTTTTTCCTTTATTGCTTGAAACTCTACTTTAACCTACTTTGCTCCATAGAACTCAAGTTGTGTCACTTTGAGTCTGAAACTCAAATTTAGTATCATTTTTTTCAAAAATTTTACTCTTATCATATATTTGTGTCATCTATCTAATATAAGTGGGACTCACATGTGTTGGTAGGCGCTACCTCTATTAAAAATATGATACAAATGACGGTACAATTATGTGGTAAATGTAGCATTACTCAACTTTTTCACATTCCGTCAATTCCGTAAAACATATGTTAAGTTGACTGATGTGGCATGATCGGGTTATAAGACAATTACAAATAAGGTTATTTATTCAATCAATTGTAGCAAATAGATAGACAATTCTTAATGCTTTCAGCGAATCCGTCCATTTGTTTCTATACAATTCAATGACTAAACGATCTCATATTTTATTGAATTTTTTGTAAGGATGATCTTTACAAAGTATTTTATAATATGAATTATTCTGATCATAAGCATAATCTGTAAATTAACCACATAGTGAATTAAGGAGGAACTCCTATTTATACATTAAGAAACCAAGTTAATTCCTTTTTTTAACATATTATATACATTAAGGGGGTGGATGAGCGGGCTAAGCCTCATAATTGTCTAGCAATACTATGGTTCAAATTTCAGAATTTTTTTTTTTAACAAACGATATTATCTATACTAAAGGGGAAGGGGTAAGCTAAGCCTCATAATGAGTTAGCAATAATGTGATTTATATTTGTCTTTGATTAGAATCAAACCTAAAACTTATTACTTACCAAAGGCATACCACTAAACTGTAATACGGCCAAATTCCTAATTTTATTACTTAAGTATGTCGTACATAACTCCGCCGTGTAAGTTTATCTTACATTGCCGGTCCCAAGCCCGGATAAATGAGGAGGGGGAGGGCGTCAGGTAGTCGACAGCCGGCACTCCATGATTACGTCGAATCCTTATGAAAATGAATCCAGAACAAAATCGCGCTAAAGCTAGGGCGTCACCCGTAAGTGGCACGCTGTGTGGCCCGAGCACAGTGATAAGTGAGCAAGGGTCGCTGTATCTCCATCGGCACCCGGATGCAGTGTTAAATGAGCAAGGGGGCTATAGAAACTTCTTTTCGAACGACTCCACTCAAAGTTGTTTGGGAGCATATGCTCCTATCAACTTTACACGGGACACACAAAAGAAGTACTTTGATCCTATTAGACGGGGAAGGGTGAAGAAGCTAGGACAGAAGGGTAGAGTTCAAGAGAGCAAAATACGTTTAGGAACGTGGAATATAGGAACCTTGACGGGAAAATCTATGGAAGTAGTAGAAGTTATGGTGAGGAGAAGGATAAATATTATGTGCCTACAAGAAACTAAGTGGGTTGGTCATAAGGCAAAGGATCTAGAAAACTCAGGTTTTAAATTATGGTATTCGGGCACAAATAGAACGAGAAACGGTGTTGGCATCATCGTGGACAAGACCTTGACACAAGATGTTGTAGATGTCAAGAGGGTAGGAGATAGAATCATGGCAATCAAGATTGTAATAGAACAAGAACTTATCAATGTGATTAGTGCGTACGCACCTCAAGTAGGGTTGGATACGAGTTCGAAGGAGAAATTTTGGGAAGACCTTGGAGACTTGGTGCAAGGAATTGCTCAGACGGATAAGTTATTTATAGGAGGAGATTTAAATGGACACGTGGGTAGGGAGACAGGCAACTATAGAGGTTTTCATGGAGGCCATGGTTTTGGGGAGAGAAACGAGGATGGGGAAGCTATCTTGGATTTTGCAATGACATATGATCTCTTCTTAGCCAACACCTTCTTTAAGAAGAGAGAAGAACATGTGATCACCTACAAGAGTGGGTCGTCAAAAACACAAATAGATTTTCTTCTAATGAGGAAAGGGGATCGTATAACTTGTAAGGATTGCAAAGTTATACCAGGAGAGAGCATGGCTAATCAACATCGCTTGTTGGTGATGGATGTACATATCAAAAGAGTGAGAAAAAAGAACAAGACTTGGAAGTGCCCAAGGACTAGATGGTGGAATCTAAAAGAAGAAAAACAAGCCATTTTCAAAGAGAAAGTAATCACCCAGTGTGTGTGGGATAGAGAGGGGGAAGCTAACCAAATGTGGGATTCCATGGCTAGTTGTATCCAAAAAGTAGCAAAAGAGGTATTAGGAGAGTCCAAGGGCTTTGCCCCACACCAAAAGGAATCTTGGTGGTGGAATGAGGAGGTACAAACAAAGGTGAAGGTTAAGAAGGAATGTTGTAAAGCCTTATACAAGGATAGGACCGATGAAAATGGTGAAATGTATAGAAAAGCGAAGCAAGAGGCGAAGAAAGCTGTGAGAGAAGCTAAGTTAGCGGCTTATGACGATATGTATAAGCGACTAGATACCAAAGAAGGAGAGTTGGATATCTATAAACTAGCTAGAGCAAGGGAAAAGAAGACAAGGGACCTAAACCAAGTGAGGTGCATCAAGGATGAGGATGGAAAGGTTCTTGCTACAGAGAACGCGGTTAAAGACAGATGGAAAGGTTATTTTCATAATCTTTTCAATGAAGGACATGAAAGGAGTGCTTCTTTAGGGGAGTTGAGTAACTCAGAAGAGTGTAGAAACTACTCTTTTTTATCGTAGAATCAGGAAGGAAGAAGTGGTTGTAGCTTTGAAGAAGATGAAACATAGAAAAGCAGTAGGCCCAGACGATATACCAATCGAAGTGTGGAAAGTTTTGGGAGAGACAGGTATAACATGGCTCACTGACCTTTTCAATAGGATTTTGAAAACGAAGAAGATGCCAAATGAGTGGCGAACGAGCACTTTGGTGCCTATCTACAAGAATAAGGGCGATGTACAAAATTGCATGAACTATAGGGGTATTAAGCTAATGAGTCATACAATGAAGCTCTGGGAGAGAGTCATTAAGCATAGATTGAGGCAAGAGACACGGGTTTCGGACAACCAATTCGGGTTCATGCCAGGGCGCTCAACCATGGAGGCAATCTATCTCTTCCGAAGATTGATGGAAAGATATAGAGATGGGAAAAAGGATTTACACATAGTCTTTATAGATTTGGAAAAAAAGCGTATGATAGGGTCCCAAGAGACATTCTTTGGAGGATTTTAGAGAAGAAAGAAGTACGAATAGCATATATCCAAGCTATACAGGATATGTATGAAGGAGCAAAGACTGCCGTAAGAACTCATGAAGGACAAACCGAAAGCTTTCCCATAACTGTAGGATTACATCAAGGCTCATCCTTAAGTCTTTACCTTTTTGCGTTGGTAATGGATGAGTTAACAGGACATATTCAAGATGATATTCCTTGGTGTATGCTTTTCGCAGACGATATAGTGTTGATAGATGAAACTCAGGAAGGGGTAAATGCAAAGCTTAACCTTTGGAGAGAAGTGTTGGAATCTAAAGGTCTTCGCCTAAGCCGATCAAAGACAGAATATATGGAGTGCAAGTTCAGTGCAAATGGAGGCCAAAACGAGTTAGGGGTGAAGATCGGAGATCAAGAAATACCAAAGAGCGACAGTTTTCGTTACCTAGGATCTATCTTGCAAAAGAATGGAGAATTAGATGGAGATCTCAACCATAGAATACAAGCTGGATAGATGAAGTGGAATAGTGCATCCGGCGTGTTGTGTGACCGCCGTATGCCACTGAAGCTCAAGGGAAAATTTTATAGGACGACAATAAGGCCGGCGATGCTGTATGGCATAGAATGTTGGGCGGTGAAGCATCAACACGTACATAAAATGGGTGTAGCGGAGATGAGGATGCTTCGTTGGATGTGTGGGCACACGAGAAAGGATAAGATTAGGAATGAGGATATCTGGGGTAAAGTAGGAGTAGCCAAAATTGAAGGAAAGATTAGAGAAAATCGGTTACGGTGGTTTGGACATGTGCAAAGAAGGCCTACTGACGCTCCGATTAGAAGATGCGACTATGGGACAGAGGTTCAGGGCCGAAGGGGTAGAGGAAGACCTAGGAAAACTTTGGAAGAGACCCTAAGAAAAGACTTAGAGTACTTGGATCTAACGGAGGACATGACACATGACAGAACACAATGGCGTTATAAGATTCATATAGCCGATCCCACTTAGTGACTTGGATTTTCCAAGTCTCCAACCGAGAAGTTTTCCTCACTCGGGAAATTAAGGGAACACTACCTCAACCTACATGCTTCACTCACAAAGCTTCAACATACAAGCTTCAACAAAAGAAAATTCAAAGAACTTAGCGAATAAGGCTTTGGTATATTTAACACAATACGTTGAAATGAAGGAAAGCTTATTTATTGATATCCCCGATAAGTTACAAATATGTACATATACTTGAGTCAAAATAAACAAACAAGAGGGAGCCTTCACAAAGGTTGCTTAGGAGAAGTCTCAGCAGTCGGTAGAGCCCCAGAAAGAGAAGGCACCGGAGGGAGATCATTCGGAGCCTCAGTACTGGACAGAACCCTAGAAGGAGGAGGCATCAGAGGTTGATCATTTGGAGCTTCATTACGCGGTACAGCCCAAGAAGACGAAGGCAATAAATGTCTTTGGAACAAACCCACAAATCTTTGATGATCAAGTAAAACCTGACCATCAGATTCCTTCATCTGGTCAAGCTTCCTCTTCATGTTTGTAGCATAGTCATGTGCGAGCCGGTGCAACTGTTTATTCTCATGCTTGAGCCCTCTAATATCCTGTTTGAGACTCATCACTTCAACCGCCAATGATTCAACTTGGCGGGTTCGAGCAAATAGGCGTTGGGCCATATTAGACACAGAACCTGCACATTGAACACTGAGAGCCAGAGAATCCTTAACAGCCAACTCATTAG